CCTCCCCCTTCTCTTTCTCCTCCTCCTCCTCCTGCTCTTCCTCTTCTTTCTCCTCCTCCTCCTCCTCCTCCTCCTCCTCCTTCTCCTCCTCCTCGCCTCCTCGATCTAATATGTACTAGCCCCCTGGTTCGTCCGACCCAAGATGCGGCTCCCGATGTCCTCCATGCACGCTGGCCTTCCGCACGTGCCTCCCCGATCGCCCCTGTCATCCTCCTCCGTATCTTCAGCGTTGCCTTCACCTCGCCGTTGTCATCCTTCTTGGTGGCTGGAGGACGATATCCGCGCCATCTGGGGTGTGGGGGCGCACACAGGAGGAGGAGAGGATGCTTCAGAAGGCCGGAGAAGTCCAGAAAACGACTCCGAGGCCGCAGGGTGTCCCAGAAAGCCGCATGTGTATATGCGTATACAGGAACACATCTGGATATGCAAGTGTGTATGTGTGCCGGTGCGCATTACGTATTTTTTTCTCGCGCGTGCTACTGTCCGTGTATCTACGCGTGTGCCTAATCAGGTGTTTAGTTCGATTCGAATGTTCACAGAGACCTACACGCACATAACATGTACATACACATATGCATACACATATGTATATGTATGATTATATATGTTGTGTGTTCATATGTGTGTTTCCACATACACGCACATCGTGCCTGCCAACAGACACACAAACAAACACGACTATAACTTGTAACGCACAGGAACCAAGCAACACACCCTGGGGCGGCACACCTGGATATGCAAGACGAGGGCGAGGACGCTGAGAGGAGAAGGGGTACGCAGGAGGAGGGAGGGGGCGATGCTGCAGGATGCCTCGGGAGGTCAGGACTCCGAAGCCGCAGATGGCCCAAGCAAACCCCAGCGGGCTTCAAGGAGCCGCTGGAGGTCTTAGGGGGCACTCGGATGACTCCGAGGCCCGAAGAGGCTTGAAGACATCCCATCATGCCTCAATTGCCCGAATGGGCCTTGGGAAACAGCAAGGCAACTCAGAAGCCCCACGCAGCCCCAAGGAGGCCACAGGATGACTCAGGGGCCTCTGGAGGCTCCTGGAAGGCAGCGGGGGGGACTCCCGCGGAGGATACCACTATCCCCTCGTGGTCGACCCCTGCGGGAGGATGGTAGGGCAGCAGGACGGCGGAGCGAGCCCTGCCCTGACCGCCTGGACTTTCCTGCTGGTGTAGCCAGAGGCCCCCGTGGAAGGCCCGCGGGGGCCCTGGGAATCGACTACACGTATGGGTGACCTCTCGCCGGAGTGACCTTTGGTGCGGGCCCAACGGGGTCCCCCGATCGCTGACGCGAATTGGTAGCAGCGGTTTGCGCGCCTCGGCTTGGCCACCCCGCGTCCCCCGTGCGCACCAGAGGTCACTCTTACCCAGGGGCACTCTTTACGTGCAGCCGAGGGAAGAGAGCCAGCCCGCGGCAGAAGATGGGGCACCTCTCCCTCTCGGTCCTCGACCGCCGCGGGCTGAGCCTTGCACGGTGAGGGAGCCGGCTCCAGGCCTCGCGGCGCTGCTCCATTGTTGCGGCCGTCGGGGGCCGCTGTCGGATCCCAGGGACATCCAAAACGGATCCGGCACGCAACACTACCACCGGGGACAGGGGTCTGAAGCTCTGGGGCCCCGTGCTGAGACATCGTGTTCGAGAATGTTTGTGGAGGAGAGAACGGGGAGGTGGAGCACGGGTGCGGAGGTGGAAGTCAGGAGGTGCATGTGTGTCCTACAAATGACGCGTCTCGTGTCTGCCTGCATGCCCCGAGCAAGGCCTGCCTTCTGAAGAGTCGTTGCTTCCTCTCGGGTGTTCCAAGCAGTCCTGTGCACCTCCGTTGTCGTCTTCGTGGTTCCCTCCTTTCCTCTCTCCTGTCGCACTTCGAGTAGGCTGAGTCTACCTGAGAGCAGGTTTCCCCCACACCGCCTGGGGCCAGCCAGTGGGCGGGGCGGTGGTGGTAGGGCATCAAGGCATCACCCAGAACCTGCTTTCCGTTTTCGAGGCTTCGCAAGTCGCAAGAGGAGGAGAGGAGAAGGGAGGGGGGGGAAGCAGGAGAGAAGAGACAGGAGAGGGAGCAGAAGGAGAGGCGGAGAAGGACAAGGGGAGGACGCAGAGGAGGAGCAGGAGAAGGAGGAGGGATCAGACGAGGCCCAGGGCCCTCCTCAGGCCAGACGCCGCGTCGTCCGCGCCCCTGGGGAGCTTCCGGGACAAGTCCCCGCGCAGGCGCCGGCTGGCGGGGGCTGCCGCCGCCGAAGACGACGACCCGGGCACGACGGCTGCCGCCGCCGACGGCCGCCGCCGACGGCGCCGACGCCGACGCCGACGAGCCTAACAGTGCGCGGCCCGGCCGCCGACGGCGACGACGACCAGGGCACGACGCGGCAGCCGCCCCTGCCGCCGAGAAGCAGCGCCGCGGCGCCGCAGGCCGACGGCGCCAGCCTCCATCGCCAGCGGGAGCGGCGGCAAGGCCCGCGGCGCGCCCGCTCCGCCCCGCGCACCGCCCCCGAGCGGCGCGCCGTTGCGCGGCTGCCCCGCCCCAGGTCGCAGAGCGGAGACTGGAGCAAATACCCAGACATGATCGCGCCGCAAAATTATGCTAACGGAGTTCCCCACATAAAGAGATTAACGGTTTCGTGGGGCCCATTTTCTTGATGCCCTCCTCGCGACGCTGGAGGGGTGGGAGGGGCACGAAACCATGTAAATAGTATGGTTTGCGGATACCCTCCTCGCTCAGGCGGGGCCTCCCTGGAGGGGTGGGAGGGGCACGAAACCATGTAAATAGTATGGTATTCCGATACCCTCCTCGCTCAGGCGGGGCCTCCCTGGAGGGGTGGGAGGGGCACGAAACCATGTAAATAGTATGGTATTCCGATACCCTCCTCGCTCAGGCGGGGCCTCCCTGGAGGGGTGGGAGGGGTGGTATGGTACGGTATGGTACGTATGGTGTGGTATGGTATGGTATGGTATGGTATGGTATGGTATGTGTGGTAGGAACTATGGTATGGTATGGTGTGTGTGGTAGGAATAATTTTGTGCTGTATGGAAGATGGAGCGGGAGGTGGGTGGGAAGGAGAGGGTTTTCTGGGAAAACAAGAACCCCACTCAGGATGTGGGGAAAAATGAGGACGGGAGATTTGGGGTCGATGTCGGCCTTTGGGGGCCCTCGCCAGGCCTCGGGACCGTCAAACATCGACTCAGGATGAGAAGCAAGTCCGGAAGAAAGGGTCGGGACTTTCAGGGCCCCCATATTGATTGAAAAACAGGACGTCGCATGTCTGGATGCATTACCAGTGGCGGGCTGACCTTGCGGGTGGTGTGGTGTCTACTTGTTCCCCCGCTTTATCCCGCGGAAGCAACAAAACATGTATACACCTGGATCTTGTATACACCAGGATCCGATTTTCCTGTTTGCAGATTTCAGTGCAGGGCCGGAAAAAGCGTCGGTGTATGGAGTTCGGTTCCCTAGCAGACGATTGTGAAGGCCTCGCGGCGACCCTGAAGACGACGAAGAGGACGCCGAGGAGGAGGGGCAGGAGGAGCAGGAGGAGCAGAAGGAGGAGGAGGCGGAGGCGGAGGACGCGGTGGAGCAGCAGGAGGGGGAGGAGGCCGAGGAGGGTGCGGAGGGCTGCGCCGCTCCAGGTCTCAGACGATGTTGCTTCCCCCCATCGGCTGTGCTCCAGCCCCGGGGCCATCAGCACTGAGCCCGGACCGAAGACCTACGGTCAACCCGCATAGTAAGGATGGGCAGCCTTGCATCCCTGCCTCCCCTTCGTCCATTCTTCGCCACTTGCGTTGGCCGCGGCCAGCTCGAACAGCTTCGAGACGGCGCCGTCCGAGGCTCTTGCATCCTCATCGTACATCCTTCTGGTAGGGGTCGACCGCACCCCTGGCACACGGGACCAGAGCACATCGCCTGGTGTCTTCGGGCCGGCCCCGTGCGGGCTGCGCCGCCGCTCCGAGCGACCCAATATACGGCCAAGCTGGCGGGATCGGCGCCGGCGGGGCCCGAGGTTCGAGGAGGCTCTCGGGGACCCTTGCTCGTGGGTTCCCAGAGGCCCCCCCTGCCTCGGGATGCCTTCCAGCGTTCCAGGGGTGACCGCACCGTGCCGAGCGGGAGATCCGAAGCCTGGCCTCGCTGCGTCGTGGAGCTTTTCGGCCACTTCGCTTCGAGGGTCCTTGCTGGGCTCTCGGACCGCCAGAGTCGCGACTCGGGATGGAGAGCGCGTCCCCTGGAAGAGGCCCAGACCCAGACATCCGACGCCGTGCCTTCTTGAACAACGCGGCTTCCCGGTGGTCAGGGTCCTTTCTGCTAGGGCACCAGCCCGTCGGCCCGGAGTACTTGTGGACGGCCCTGGTCGGTGGTTCAAAGGTGGGGTCTTGAGGGATGCGGTCTTAAGGACGGGAAGGGATCCCAGGGTGGGCTTGCACCGCTTGGAGCACCCCGTCCTCAGGGCACCATCCCCTAGAGGACCCCTCTTTTGAACCGCCGACCAGGGGCTCAGTAGCGGCTTCCTCTGGGGAGCCACGTCGTGTTCGAAGTATAGCGTCGGACGTCGGGAGTGAGGGGTCGAAGAGGAGCTGCCGACGCCTCGGAGAGCAAGGTGGGAGTTCGAGGGCCGGGTCGAGGGCGACGTGGAGGACGACAAGGGTGACGAGTGGGGAGGGAGGAGGAGGGATGAGGGAGGAGGTTGAGTAGGAGGGCGAGGAGGAGTGCGAGGTGTAGGAGAGGAACGCTACAGCCCTGCAGCTGATATTGCTCTAACGTCGAGCAAGACTGAGGAGGTGGAGGAGGAGGAGGAGGAGGAGGAGGAGGAGGAGGAGAAGAAGGAGTAGGAAGAGGGAGGCCAGAGTTTTTGAAGTAGTTTTGATTGGTTTCGTCTACTTATTCCCCAATCAGTGTTTGCACTGAAGGGGTCCTTGTTTTCTTCTCGGCCTGTTATTCCCAGGGATTCCCAGCCACGACTTTCAGGCGCCTCTGGCTGTTGTTCTAGGGAAAGGGGGAGGGACAGGAAAGCGATGAGGGAGGGGAGGGGGGTGGGGGGGGGCGTGCGCATCGTCGCCCCTCGCCCTCCTCCCCCCACCCCCCCTCTCCCCTCCTTCCCCCCCTTCTGCCCCCCCCTCCTCTTGACGAGCGTCATGCCATGGGATGAGGTCAGGCTGCGCTGATCAGCTTCCGACGGCCCCGCGCACTGCCAGTGAAGGCGGAGGCGCCTCCCTGCGCGCCGCTGTCCTGTCTTGCTCTGGGGACCGCCACGGGCCCAAATAGCCCCAGGGTCAGAGTAATCGGGCGTCCTGCTGCCCGCTTCAGGAATAGTTCCCTCCTGATGTCGCTGCGAGAAGCCTTCCTCCAGTGGGTTCGCACGCGCGCGCCGGTGCGGGAGGTCCTCATCACCATTGTCAGTGCAACGGACCGAGCCCGCTGACTTTGCCGCCTGCAGCTTCCTTCAGCCCTGCCTTGATGTGTTCCTTGGAGGGGGAGGGGGAGAGAGAGAGAGAGAGAGAGAGGAGCATCCTGGGCTGGAGTCGGAGCTTGGCATGGAGTTGTGAGAATAGGAAGGAGAGGGGTTGAAGAGGATCAGAATGAGGAGGCGGATCAATCGCAGCGCCAGCGGTGGCCAGTACGACAGAAATCGCGTGGCAAGCCACTTTCGATCATTCGGATGCCTGACAACAGCAGAGACATGTAGCGCCCCCTGCATTATGATGTGCAACACGTTGCGCTGCTCGCATGCGCCAAAGCAGTTCCAGGTCACGACCAGGAGATGGAAGAGGAGCAGCAGCATCCCCTCTGGTCGTTGCCATGTGACTGTCCGAGAAAAAGCCAGGCTCTTGTTGGGGCCGCCGCTTAGCAGTGGCAGTCTTATCGGTTGCGTGCGCTGGGCCAAGGGGGCCGATGTATTTCCCAGTGAACGGGCGTCGTGTTTTATTTTCGATTGCACCCGGTGATCCAGCCTGGAGGTCATCGCGAAGGCCTTACGGCCAGTGCCGCCGACCCTGAATGGCGACGGCGACTACGACGACGAGTGCCCTCGGGGGCCTCTTCGGGCCTCTTGGGGTCTCTGGGGGTCTCTTGGGGGATTGTTGGGGCTTCTTGCGGGGCTTCTTAGGGACCTCTGGGGGCCTCCTGAGAGCTTCTCAGGCCGAGGGCTCGAAATGTCCGTTCGGGTCCCCCGTCTGGGCTCCTCCTTGGAGCCGTCTTGGGGGCCTCTTCGGCTGTCTTGGAGGCCTCTTGGTCGGTCTAAGGGCCCTCTTGGGTCGTTTCATTGCTCTCTGGGAGGCCTCTTGGGCGATATTGGGGCGGTCTTTGGGGCTTCTTGGCCTGTCTTGGAGCGTCGGGAAGCTGACAAGGCGAGAATGCCGACATCTTTCAAAAACTCCAGGGGAATCCATGATTCTTGCTCCTTGGGGCCCTCTTGGGAGTGCCCTTGGAGTGGGAACTTCCGAAGCTGTCTGGAGGCTATCGCGACTTGGACCGATACTTCGGCGATTCGGGTACCTCGAGGACATTCTTGGGGGCCTCTCGGGACACTTTTGCTACGTCTTGGGGAGTGTCTGGGCTTCCGAACCGCCCGGAGGGGAGTCGCATCTGACCTGGGACCCCCCCCCGGGACCTGCCCCCGGGACCCACCCCGGGACCCCCCCGGGATCCCCCCCTCCACCCGGGACCCCCCCCCCGCGCGGAAGGGATCAAAGGAAAGGGGCTTCCCTTCGACTCAACTACAGCGCTGCTCAATTTCGCTGTGGTGTGGCTGGCGCGCTCGAGGAGGAGGGCCCGGTGAAAGTGGAGGCAGCGGCGCCAGGCTCAGGGAAAGGGAGGGGACCGGCGTCGGCGAAAGCGACGACGACAACAACAACGACCACGACGACGACGAGGACGAGTCAAACGGAACAGCCTCTTCCACACGCCGACAGGGTCGGCGGATTATACATGATTCCCCCTGAGCCCGCAGAATTTACCAGACTTCTTTTACTCTACATCAGCCTCTCGCCCGTTTCGCACCATGATTTCTGAATGCGTCTCTTCGCTTGTCAAGCTCGCCCCCCATGTACACGGAGCGAGTCGCTAACACAGGAGCTGGCGACGACAAGCATGAGGAGAAGCAAATTGGTGAACCATTATGGCCGATCTGCGGATCCAGTTGTCATTTCTCTCTCTCTCTCTCTCTCTCCCTCTCTTCTCCTCTCTCTCGCTATCTCCATCCCTCTCCCTCTCTTTGTCTCGATATCACCCCCTTTCTCCTCCCTCTCTCTCTCTCTCGCGCTTCCCCTGGGGACTCCGTCCTCTCTCCCAATGGCAGGCCACCAGTTGAAAGCCGTCGCGTTCTATGAGTGGTACATCAGCAGTCCGAACCGTAATTAGGCGCGACTCGTCACACGCGGCACGGAATCAAATTTCGAGCAGCGTGCGTGAGGCAACTTGAAACGTGCATCGCATCATGCGCAGCTGCAGACTGCGCACGTGGGAGCCGAGGGCGTAATTGCGTATCGGCCCAAGCCTCAGGTGAGAGTCGCGTCCTCTGGCATGCCCAGGTAGGTCGCACCCCCGAGGCCGCCATGGCCCTTTCCAACAGCGCCTCCCAGCCGACCCTTCTGCCCAGCCAGCTCGGCGCGGCAGGGCAGAAGAGCTTGGTGCTGCCATCGCCGGGCCAGTCCAGAAAGAGCCTGCCTCCTGCTCCTCCCTCCGCTACAGGAACCATGACCTCTTCGCGATTTTAACCGAAATCAGGATGGCCATTTATGTTTTTATGGTTTTCGGCCTCGCGGGGGCCTCACCTCGCAGGCTCTCGTAGAAGGGGCTCATAGTGAATAACTGCCCTCCAGTGAATGGGTCTAGACCACCTATGGAGACACACTGCGAACAAAAGGCTCGACGGTGGATATCAGGGGACGCTGGCCCCCGGTCGGCTGACAAGTTTACACCCTCTCCAGCGGCACGAGGGGGCATAACCTTTCTGGACGCCCTGGGACGCGCCAGACGGTGGAGAACGTTCTCTTTCACCGCGTTCCTCCCGTAAATCCACAGTAGGGGCGACATGGCGACGGGTCGATGGTGGCTAAACGACTTCCTCTGTCCCTCGACGCTCGCGGGTGCTTCTACGAGTTACTCTTCTGTGAATCCGGGAATATGTTGTGTTATCTGGATGTGTTTGAGGCTGCATGGATTTGCGTAGGCTCACCTCGATCTATCGGGCTGGGCCCTCGCGAGCCGATTGGAGATGCGTCGCCGTGCCGAAAGGTGAGCGAGGTGGCGACGATGGCGGAAGCCGGCTCCCGCTCCAGTTGCTGGGCGGAGGCGGATCAGAGCGTGCGGCCAGCGCCGCCTGCCCCCCGGCAGGTGCCCGACCCAGCCTCCTCGGCCACCGTCGCCACCGTCCCCATTTCGTGTTGCGCCGTCTCCGGTTCGGCCCGCGCGGGCTTCCCGGGTCCGCGCCGTGGACCCCTCTCCCTGTCGCGCGGAGCGCGCCAGGAGGGGGCGCCGGAGGCGCCGCCAGGCAGCGCCGATCCGAGAAGCCCGCTCGGACCTCTGAGAGGTCACGCGTCATTCCGGAGGGCAGAACTTTTGGCCTCCCGGATGTGGTCGGAGTAGATAGGGTCAGGGGATCGCGCCGCATCGCCGATGCATCGACGATGCGGCTCGATGCGGAGCCCGACGTTCTCCATGCCGTCGTCGCCGATGCATCGCCGATGTCGCCAGTGCATTGCCGATGCATCGCCGATCTATCGCTGATGTATGGACGATGCGGCGCGATCCTCCGACCCCATCTACTCGGACCCCATCTAGGAGGCCTCTTAACAGAAAAAGACATCGGTACAACGAATCGTCGATTTGGATGACAAAATTCAAAATATGGGGGGTGGAAGGGGAAGACGAAGGTCCAGACAATATCGCCCAAATGTTAGAAATCTTGGAAGTTGGGTCTCCCTGGGCCCCTTCATTCGTGCATTTATTTGTTTCCCTGTCCCCCCACCCTGGAAGGAGCCCGAGCCGGGTGGTCGCCCAGGGCGGCGCCGACTCCGCGGTGATGATAGGGAAGATGAAGGCTCGGGTGTTGCCAAAACCTGCCCGTGCTTTTGCCGGTCGTTCTTGGCGATTCACTAGTTTGCGAAGGCCTTACGGCCGGTGCTGCCGACCCTGCAGGGGGTCGGCGACGATGAAGACGACGACGGCGACGGCGACGACGACGACGACCACGACCACGACCACGAGCACGACCACGACGACGACGACGAGGACGACGGCGACGGCGTCGGACGACGACGACGACGGACGACGACCTTCGACAGCGTCTCGCACACGCCGACAGGGTCGGCGGATTTCGGCCTCACGGTGCCCAGGACAGTGAAAAACGAATCCGGGGCGAAGCATTGGCCCCAGGAGAGGAGGTCGGGATATATTTGCGGCTGTGCGCGGCGAGCGCAGTTGTGCCGACGGGTGCCTGCGGCCCCAGGGCGTCCTGTGAGGCTCGCGGCATCCTGGGTTACAGCCAGCTCGCATAGAAAGAATGGGCAGCCTGCCCAAGGGTACCCTCGCATCCTTGCCCCTTCGGCCCATCTTTGGCCACTTTCGCTGGCCAACCTCGTTCGAAAAACTTTCACGTTGGCCTCCGAAGCCCTGGCAACCTCACCGCGCATCCTTATGATACGGGCTGGCTGGACCCCATCACCAGGACTGGGGGGCTTCCGGGGGCTCGGAGATGGCAATACCTCGAGAACCGAACCAGGAGTTTTCGCCAACCGGTCGGCTTGTCTGCGTCGCAGTCGGCTTTGCGTTCGGTCGGTTCGATTCGATCGGGTACCTTGTCGGGGCCTTGTCGCTACACCCTGAGGCTGCTCGCGGCTGTCTTCGTTGGCAGCCTCGGGACAACCTTTCCGGCGGCCCTCGGAGGCCCAGCTGCGCGAGCTCCAGATGGAGATCCGGAGCGACGAGGATTCGCTGAAGCTGGTGCATCGGCGTGGTCGACATGGGCGCGCTGTGGCCGCTCTCCTCGATCCTTGGGGGTCATCCGGGCACGGCACATGAAAATCCGAACGTTCGACGACGACTTGGAGATCACCGAAGAGGACATGTTCTCGCTTCTTTGAACGTGCGCATTCGGGGGCCGCGCGGCCTCTGGTGCCCCTGGTGGCGCCTCCAGCACCGCACTCCAGCGCGGAGGCGGCCCACCAGATCGGAGGACTACGGGCGACCCTGTACCTATTCCTACTCCTATTCCTCCTGCTTATGCAAGTGCTCTTAGTTCTATAGTAAGGAAGGTTTTGAAGTTTGGGTTGCCTTGTTTGCCTATGGAGGCTTCTGGGAGCTCCACAGGTCTCCAAGGACGTCTGCAGGCCACCCGGCGAACCTTCGCCATCGGCTATAAGGGCCAGGAGTGGCGAAGTGCCGCGGCAGAGCAGGCAGTTGTATTGTCATGTTGTGTTCCCTGGCTGTCGAATGGTGTTCCATTGAGCGGGGCGAACGGAGGAGTTGCCCTCCTGTTCTCTCCCCATCCCCCCTTGCTCCCTCTCCCCCTTTGTGGTGTTGTTGTTGCTGGTGTCGTTGTTGTCGTCGTCGCTGTTGTTGTTGGTGTTTGTGTTGCTGCTGTTGTCGTTATCGTTGGTGTTGCTGGAGGTGTCAGTGTGGCTGTTGGTGTTGGTGTTGGTGTTGGTGTTGGTGGTTGTTGTTGTTATTGTTGTTGTCGTTGTTGTGGTTGTCGTTGTTGTCGTTGTTGTCGTTGTTGTTGTTGCTGGTATTGGCCTGGGGGGGGTCGTCGTGCCTTCTGACCCCGGATCGCCCCACGCCCGGGGGGGGCCACGAGCGCGGCCAGCTCGGCCACGCCCGCAGCGGGACCTGCAGATGACCCAGGAGGCCCACGACAGGATGCAGAGGCAGGTTCTCGGGCAGTGCCAACCCAGATCCCGGCAGATATACGTATACATGTGTATATATATAGATTGTGTCTTACAATATTCAAAACAACATGCCGAAAGAAGCCCTGTGGCAGGAGGAGGAGAAACACACCGACGACGAGGAGACAACATGACAGAGGGCGCGGCGAGGGGAGGGGGGGGGGGGGGGGCAGCGCGAGGTTCTCCGCGGCTTCGGCATCTGTAGGGCCCTTGGCCAGCTATGGGGGGGGGGGGGGGGGCGTGATACGGGGGGGGGCAGGGGCTGGGCGCAGAGGAGCACGTGCTCTTTGTTCGTGCACCGCAGGCGCCCTTCTAAAAGGGCCCCCCAGGGGCCCCAAAGAAGGGGCACGAGATGTGCCCGCGTCTTCGCCCCCCCCACCCACCATGTCAAGGCCCCCCGCACAGGGCTCATTTCGATTCTTCCGACTCGGTTCGATTCGTTTTTGGTGGTTTCCGATTCCGAATCGATTCGACTTGGGATTCCGATTTGGCTCCGATTTCGTGATGGAGGCCTGCTGGGCCGCCGATTTCCGCCGATTCGACTTTTCCCGACTCGGCTGCCGATCTCCGCCGATCCGATTCGCTTCGATCGCGGATCCGACTTGTCGATTCGACTGGGGGCGCCTGCCCCCCCATGAAGCAACGCCCAGTTCGTGGCGCAACGTGAAGTACCTCTGGGGAAGGTGCCGGGAGCTCTGGGGCCGCGGATTGAGCCAACCATGCATCGGGTTTGCCGACGACTGAAAAAAGCGTAAGACTCGAGTGCGCCGGAAATCGGGTGTGTCAACGCTTGTCGACGAGCGCGTCCTGGATTTTGACGGTCCAGTTTTCGTGGGATGCATGCAGCGGGAGTTCGCGCCAAATTTCAGACTGGGTCTCGTCATTCTCATGATAGCCCCGTCAGGCCAACCCGAGTCCCGCGAACCCGCATGCACATAGTCGGAATGTCTGGGAAGGGGGGCCATCGTTACCCCCACACAAGACCTCGCGTCGCGGAAAACTCGAAACGCAAGACCGTGGGCTATTTTGTTGTGTCTCCGCAGGGCTCTTGCTGGGCGGGCCCAAGGCCCGTCAACAGAACCACTGAAGTTGAGAGGCCAGTCGAAAGGAAGATATCCAAACCTCTGTGGGGGGCCAAGTTGTGAACAACATTGACGTTAGATGTTCGGGAGGGGGGCGCATCTTGGGGGTCGCAGCCTCTGCCTGAGCATCTAGGATGGAGAACGAGAGAGACACCGATGGTCGAGGAGGCTTCTGGGCACTCTTCGGCGCCTGAGGCGTCTCCGGGGCGGGTCCTTGAGGTTCCGCCTCCCTATCCTCATCCGCCTCACGAGGAGTGCGCGACCTCACTAGTGGTTGTCCAGATGGGCCGATTGTCCACCACCACTACCACATGTAGGACGGGGGAGAAGGGAGGATGAGGAGGTCCTCTTCCTGCTCCTCCTCCTCCTCCTTCTCGTCGTCCTCCTCCTCCTCCTCCTTCTCCTCGCTTTCCTGCCTATGGTAGTGGTGGTGGAAAATGGGCCCATCATGTTCTCCTTGACATTGCCTCCAGGTCGAGTTCGAGGAGCGGTTGCTTGGCAAGATGGACCCGAACCAGGGCCTCGGGAGGGCGATCCAGGACCTCGACGGCTTCATGGCCGAGGTGCACAGAGATTACAACAAGTGCCGCGACAACCACAAGAAGTGCATCGGGATCCTGCAGAAGGAGTTTGGCTATAACCCACTTTTCAAAGCAGGCAAGCCTGGTGGGCCGCAGTTCCACGGCAATCCGCACGTAATGGCCAAGGACCCGCGGAAGAATGCTTGAGATCGTAGGATGTTGGCGCTCCAGAGCTGAGTGGCCAGCGTGCACCACCAGCGCTGTTTGTGTCAGGTGGTCGGTGACCGACAGCGTCGGCGCACAAGCAAAAATATGCAGCGATGTGACGACAATGAGGTGGGAGTATGTTGGTTTTGAGTCTTCTTAATTGGTGTAGGGTCTACTGTGGGCCTGGGTTCCACTTGTCGGGGCTGTTCGATATTGGATTGATCATGTGATCGAAACAGTGCCCAATAGCAGGTCTACATTCAGGGTTCGAGTGTGAGACCGACGTGAAGCGGATACTCCTCATTGCGAGATCGATGACGGTTTCGGTACGTGTCGCGTGTGCGGGCGATGCAAAGTTGCGCGAGTGCGAGAAGGATTTTTCCGCAATTAGTCAAGGGCACGTCAGGTTGTTTCGCGCCCTTGCTTGTCACGCGTGTCTTTTCTATGTCCCGTGGTTGGCACAGTCTTTCTTCAATTGTAATATGCATTCTGTCCAGTACGTCCGTCCCTTGCGTTTGGTCTGGTCATGTCGGGCCGCCCGAGTAGCAGGATAGCCATACTCGTAATGAGTAATCACATACCAAACGTATCTAGACAGCGTGTTAGTTCTTGCGCGTTTTGTTTATCGACGCCAGGTCAGACGCCCAACCCGTAACTGTGCCCATCCCCCCACCCCACCCTTTTAATCCCAAGAGTGGTATTCAAGTTAAGCATGGCATATGTTATTGCGTTTGATGGCAATTCGGGCGATAAGGTGTAGAGGTTCACTGTTGTGTAGACCAGGATTCTCAAGCAGCGGAAGGCAACTGATACATCATCAACCATTTTTCGTGCGAGAAAGAGGTTATGGGGGGGGCGCAGCTTCTGGTTCGCTATTGGTGTTCGATCGGGTTCGCGGTATATCGATCGACCTCGATATTTACATGTGTGGGAGTGTACACACATAGGTGTATACATATGTGCTTATATGTATGTATATAGGTACACGTAAATATACACATATACATCGTGACCTTTGGCTCATCCCGCCACCGTGCCTGGGGTGTCGGTCACATGACCCTTGGATGCCTGTGAGGATCTATTGGGAGACCGCTCGGGCCTCTTGGAGGCGGTTTTGGGGTTGCTGGGGGGCGTCTCAGGGGGCTCTTTTGGGGCCTGATTTGGGCCTCTCGGGGCCTCTTGGAGGCCTCTTGGGTCCTCTTGGGAGCGCCTGGGGTCCCTCTGGGGAGATATTGGGGCCATCTTGGGGATGAGGCGTCAAAGTGCAAGTTCGTGTTCTTTTTGGGCCCCTCTTGGGGCTGTCTTGGGGCCTTTTGGGCCTCTCTTGGGGGCTCTTGGGCGGAATTCTCTTCGGCCATGTTGGACACGCGTGTCCCGAACAACGCGCTCTTGGCCTCAGGAAGAGGCGCGCGGGGATCCCCCGTGAGCGCGCGAGCCTGAGAGCGCCCGGAACTCCTGGGCTGAGGACCCCTGAGACAAGATTCGCAAAATTCAACGCAGATGTCTTAGGGGTATTTGAGGACAGTCGACTTCGTGTTTCGAGGCGCCGTAACGGATGTGCACACAGGTCAGCATCAGCATCAAGCAAATTACCTACATCATCGATCTATCGATAGATACACCGATATAGTTATCAACAGGGTCATATATTGTATAGATATGTTGGTTATGTCTCTCTATATATGCATATATATATATAGATGTATACATTCGTATTCATGTACATACTACAGATAAGAGTGAGGGGATCTAACGGTCATTCATTGTCCCTGGGTGCGTGGTTGAAGTGACGTTCCGTGGTTCTCATTGTTGATGTGTTGTTGTTTGTTGTTGTCGTCGTCCCACTCGCACCCCAGCCCACGACCCACCCGCGACCGCCCACGACCCACCCGTGACCCAACTGGGACCCACCCGTGACCCACCCGCAACGAACCCGTCACCCGCCCGCGGCCCATCCGCGACCCTTTCGCGACCCACTTGCGACCCACCGGCGACCCACCCGCGACCCACCCCGCGACCCACCCGCGACCCGCCCGCGACCCACCCGCGGCCCACCCGCGGCCCACCCCGCGCCCGCCACCTCACTCTTATCCGCACCCACGTGGTGTTGCATATAGTAACCTACCGAGCCACATATACATGGACTTTACGCATACTCATTGTCTGCCTCTTCACATGCACCTCTCACTCTCTGTTTCTCTTGCCGCCCAATTCGCAATTGTCGTGCCCGCGTGCCCGCGGAGCGCGGACAACCTGCGGCGCAACCCACACAGGATAACCCATGGGACAAAGCAGGTGACAATTACAGGACCCACATGACAACCCACGCAACTGCAAGAGGATGACCGCGGGACAACCATGGAATGACCACGGCAAGGACCCGCGCACCCAGATGAGAACCTAACTTGTTGCACGACCTGGCCCTAGCCACGCCGTCTCACCGCCGCCCTCGCGCAGCTGCTCTCCCGCTCGCGCGACACAAACTGGATCCGAACATGATGTCTCCGTTTGGGTCGCTTCGTGCCCACCGCCCAACAGGCGACACAGGCCACCAGACGAGTCGTGGATCGTGCGCCTACGAGACCGCAGGCAGGCAGACTCGTGTGTGGTCCCCTGCGGTGCGGCTGGCCGTCGAGCCGGCCCTCCGCCCGGGTGCGAGCGACGGCAGGCGCGCGAGCGGAAGGGCGCCCGGGAGTCGGAAAGGGGCGCGGTCGTCTGGCCAGGATGTCGAGGAGGAGGAGGAGGAGGAGGAGGAGGAGGAGGGGAAGGGGAGGAGGAGGAGCGATGAAGGAGGAGCAGCAAGGGAGGAGGAGGAGCGAGGAGGAGGAGCGAGGAGGAGGAGGAGGAGGAGGAGGAGGAGGAGGAGGAGCGAATGATGAGGAGGAGCGGGAGAGGAGAAGGAGATGCGAAGGAAGAGAAGGAGGAGCGAGGAGGGCGGAGGAGGAGGAAGAGGAGGAAGAAGGAGGCAGGAGGGAGGAGGAGGAGGAGGAGGAGGAGGAGGAAGGAGGAAGGGGGGATGATGAGGATGAGGAGGGACGAGGGGCGCCTTCGATGTGTCTGCCTGCGACAGGGCGGCAGTCCGCCCAGGGCCCCTCTCCTGCCCCTCCCACCCTTGCTGGGCTGCTGTTGAGAGCCCTGCTTGGGCTTGGCTTCGGCAGGCAAAGCAGCCCGCCCCCCCCCCTCCCCTCGGCCATCGCAGAGGGGCGCAGGGGAAGGGGGGAAGGCTTCTTAGAAGGAGCCTCCTCCCCCCCCCCCCCCCCCCTGCGCGCCGCCAGCCCTGGCAGAGCTCCGAGGACGCAGTCGCTGGAGGTCTTCGGCCGACTGGCTGGCCTGCTCTTCGTCCTAGCCCCGCGCCCAGCCTCGGGCGCCGCCGCCGCCCGCCCCCGAGGCAAGGGTGGCTGGGCAGAGGGCGGGCTCCCGCAGGGCGCGTGGCCCCAAGAGGCGGCACTCGGGCCGGGGGTGGTGAGGGCCCCCAGGCGGGAGGCCTCCCCAGCAGTCGGGGCGCCAGAGACGGGGGTCAACGTCAACGGGGGTCAGCCAGAGCGCTGGATCTTGCAGGATCATGCAGGGGCAGGGTCGCAGCATTGACCCGGGCTTGGGCGCAGGATCCTTCGCATTGACCCAGGCTTGGGTGCAGGATCTTGCAGGATACAGCTGGATTTCGCAAGGCTTCACTGGACCGGGTCTGGATTGACACGGGTCAGAGGATCCCTAAAGCAGGAGGCGCCCCCCCCCCCCCCAGAAGAGAAGACCTGACGCATCTGCGTATTCGCCTTGTCTTCTACTGGGGAACAAGTAATTCGCCTTGTCTATTGTCTCCCTTGGCGGCGCCCTCCGCGCGCCAGGGAGGTGGGTCCAGCGCTGATCCAAAGGACACGCGCGGACCGCCAAAAGTGCAGGATTGTGCCATTTGTTGTCCCTCTAGTGTTGTTCCCTTCCCTCCCCTCCGCTCGATTTCCCCCCCCCCCCCCTCTTCCTGCGGCCAGAGCTCGGCTCCGCGCCAGGGCGTGTTAGTGTTCTACAGAGCCGTCTTGAGAGGCATCGGACCCCTCCTTTTGTCTCCCCTGCCGCATGCGCTGTGAAAAAGCAACGCGCCAGGGCGTGTTGGGCGCGTGCGGGATGAGCCCCCCGCCGACAGGGCCCGGGGCTGCAGACGTGCTGCGCGCTCGCCACCGCTGCGGCCACAGCGTGCGAAGTGAGCCGCTGCCGCCCGCACGAGACCGGCACTGTCCAGGCCTCCGGGCCTTTCAATGGCGCGCCCTCCCGGCCCTTCTTCGATGATAAGCCTGTTTTCCACCACCACCACCATAAGTTGGAGGGGGGAAGGAGGTGGAGGACGAGGAGGAGGAGGAGGAGGAGGAGGAGGAGGAGGACGACGAAGAGGAGGAGGAGGAGGAGGAGGACCCCCTCGCCCTCCAACTTATGGTGGTGGTGGTGGAAAACAGGCCCATCATTCGAGGCCGCCACCACCGTCCGGTTCGCCTGGCGAGGCCGCCCCCACGTGCTCCGGGGCCGGCGCTCCCAAGACGCCTGGCGGTGGTGGGTGCGGCTCGGCTCTGGTGCTGCAGGCCTGGCCGTGCGCGGGGCTGTCTTGTCTCTTCTCCTCGCCGCTCTGCAGGAGGAGCGTTCGGTTGGGGTACGGTAGGTTTGCGTCGTGTCGACCAGCGGCGACCCCGCCGCCGGCGTTCAACGTTGAACGCCGGCGGCGGCCCAGAATCGATCGATGTTGAACGATTGGACGTTGCGGCAGCGGCCGATCGTTCAAGGTTGAACGATCCCTGCGGTGTCAAAAACCAACGCTGTGGTCGGCACGACACGAACCTGCCGTAGGCCTCAAGGGGAGCGGTTTCGAACGGTGTCTCAAGTTTCGCGGCCTGGGGTTGCCGGGTTCGTCACAGACAGCCGCCGGGGGCCCGAGTTGTGACCCGAAAAGTGGACGACCAGGATCATCGATCTCCCACTCATCGCGCTTGATAGTCATCCCCCGCCCAGGAACGTGCGGCTTCGCCGTCGGTGCCTTCTTGCCGAGCTATCAGCGATGTACCACCGACTCCAAGTCGACCTTCCCCCTTGAAAAGCCTATTCTGGCTTTGCCCCAGCTGGTTTCGTGTCACCTCGCTTGTCTGGCGTCATGCGGGGCTCAATCTGGGTTAAGACAGTTTGATGGCCCGCCCTCGTACAATTTAAAACGTTCTGATGAAGGCCTCTCTCGAAGAAGAAAAAACCGTATAAACATGAACTCTTGACGCTCCGCGCGGATTTCTTGCATCGGCGTCTGGCCCACCCCGGCGGCGCCTCCGGCGCCGCCCCTGGCGTTCGTCGCGCGCTAGGGAAGGGAGTCAAGCGCAGATCCAAGACATCAGCGTGGAGCGTCAAGAGATGATGTTCATGCTGGTTCTTCTCTTCCTCCTCCCAGAAGTTGCCTCCTGAGATGGTCGCTCCCCCTCAGCCAATGCGTTCCAATCCTGGTTTTGCCTGCCGTCCCCGATCTCGGCGCTACTTTTAGGTTGGGCATGTCCTCCCCCTACAGGCGGATTCTGGACGAAGAATAAGAACATGCACCAACAATTGTCAGAAATATGCAAAAATAGTCCCCATGTTTTCTTATGCTTGAACTTTCCTCTTGCAGAGGGACAGGCCCGAATTGACGCTACTTCCGCTGCTCCCTGCCGCGGGGACTCGCGGCGCCGTCGGCGCTTGTGCCCGCGCCCGCCGAGCGCAGCACAGCCTCGCAACGGAGGGGGCGGGCCCCGAGGGAAACGGGTCCTGGATCAAGCTTAGTGGCGTGGCGTCCTGAATTGCCTGCGTCGAAGAAGAAAGCTCACCATAAACGCTCCGCGCGGATTTCTTGGATCCGCGCTGTGCCCCCCTGGCGGCGCCTCCGGCGCCGCCCCTGGCACGTTCCTTGCGCCGGGGTGGGGGGCTTAGCTCAGGTCCAAGAAGTCCGCGCGAGCCGTCAAAGGGTATGTTCGTACAGTTCGTTGTTCCTCTACTACAGGCCCACCAGAGAATGTTTCTAGAATCTCCTCAGCACTGTTGCGGACATCTTTTCTGATGTTATACATCGGGGCAGTGGTCTTGTTTTAGAGTCTAGAGCGTGTTTTGTCCCCCAGGCTGCGCTTGCGTTTCAACCTGTCTGGCTTGGAGAACCGAATGGGTGTCCCAAGTTTCCGCCACGTTGGCGCCCGTGCCCGCTCGCGAGCTCCTCGTGGGCGCCCCGTGCGCTGGGTATTAGGTTTCTTGAGGCTGGCGCCTCGCTTTCGCCCTCTGCCCGCTCGTGGGCGCCTCGTGGGCGCTCCGTGCGTTGGCTGGGTTCTTCCTGAGGCTTCGCCGCGTGGGCGCCCGTGGGTGCCTTGGTGCCCCGCCGCGTGTTCCCCCTCCCGCTTCCACCCCCCCCCCGGCGCTTGTCGTTCGTCCATCGTCCGTCGTTTTCGTCGTCGTGTCGTGTCGTCCCCTTGCACCTGTCAAGAACGGCTCAGGATGGCCATCTGGCTCCAGGGGCGTCCTGGGTCCATCACCTGTTTCCCTCGGGACCCGCGTTCTTCATGGTTGAGCAGAGTTGCGGGTGGAGGCGGAAGTCTGCAAGACAGGTGGCGGCTAGAAGCGATGTCGACGTGAGTTCGCTCGGGGGGCGGCATCTGGGGAGTAACATCGGACTTCGGATTTAAAGGTTGGTTCGTCCCGAGACGAGGCACACGCAGCCCGCATGCACGGGCGATGAAACTATTCAAGCAGTACGTACAGGGGCGTTCACAGAGGAGCAAGTATAGGTCTGCCTCAGCACCACGCCCAGTGTGTTCAATGCCTCCAGTGGCCTATCCCTAGTGGTTTCGCCAATCGTCAAGCAGCAGAGCATTTTGCTTCTGATGAGCGGCCGAGTTTGGATGTCAGTTGCTGCTCTGTCTTATCCATCTTCCGCAGTTCAATGGGAGGCCTCAGACCGTCAAAAGCTTTGCGGGTTGCCCGTGGTGCAGAGGAGCGACACATTGTAAGAAGCACACAGATGATCCTCGTTGCGTTGCCTCGCCGACCCCCTCCATACCCCAGGCTCCACGAGAGATCCCCGCAACCTTGTAGAACCGCACAACCTCGCAGGACCTGCTGGACACCTTGCCACCCCCATCCTCCCCTTCCTCCTCCATTGCTTCATTCCCTTGCTCCTCCTCCCTCTTTCCTTCATACACATTTGTGCGGTTGCCTCGCCGCAGATTCCCTCCCCGTGTCGGGCGACAGTGTTCCTCCTCCTCCTCCTCCTCCTCCTCCTCCTCCTCCTCCTCCTCATCCCCCGTTTCCTCCTCCAGCTTGTTGTGTGGCCCATGCAGCTTGGGCCTCAGGCATTGTCTCTCGGGACTTGTTACGTTTCGCTGCCTTGGCTCCACATCGCTATTCTGTTCAGGTGTAGCCATGCATGGGCTCGAGATCTCTCCTGCTCGGTGGCCAACATGCAATCCTCTGTCTCACGCTGTGGCGCAGCTCCGCTGTGTGGAGATACGGCGCTTGACGACAAGGTGGTCAAAAAAAACACCTCCCTCCTCCATCCTCCTCCCTCCTCACTGTCCTCCTCCCGTCTTAATTAAACTCGCCAGAACCCTCAGAAGGACAGTCGGGAGCTTCTTGTACAGCCCCCCATCAGACTCGCTCCAGGACCTCCTGGAGGACCTCCCCCCATCCCTCCCTTCCCCCCTCCCTCTCCGATGGATTCCGCGCCCCTCCTCGTCCAACAAAAACTACGAGGACGGCCGAGGGCGACAGCACAGACTCTGGAGACGACGCCGACGAGGAGCACGACGACGAGGACGGCGGCGGCAGCGACGACCCCTTGCCCTCCCGCTGGCCCGTGCGAGGACCTGATGGCCGCAGATTCCAACGGGAAGTCCGACCCCTACTGCAAGTGCCGCGTCAGAGGTCGGCCAGCGGACGCGGGGCCGCGGGGGCTCCTGGGCTCCACGGGCCAGGACTCGGAGGCCACATGCGAAGCCTAACTCACCACCCCACGATTTCTGAGGGGGGAGGTGGGGCTCACTTCGCTCGGGAGGTTCCGAATCAAGTGAACCCCCCCCCCAGAAATCGTGGGGTGGTGAAGAGGGGTTTGCATGAGGGCCTCCTGAGGACACTGCAAGCAAGGACTCTCTGCAGGGGCATCGTGAAGGGGTGGACCGGCTCAGGCTCTGGCAGGGACGCGTCGACCTCCAACCGCCCCTTCGTCGCCGACGGGGGCCCGATGGGCCGCCCCGCACAGTTTCGGCTCCGCTCCCGGGAGCCCACCGCCGGTCTATCGGGGACACTTCGCCGAAGCCAACTCGATGTCCCTCCCCTGAGCCGGTCCCGCCCCCGACGTTCCCCTTGGACTCTGAACGTTCCAGCTGTAGGGATAAGATAAGGAGATGTTTTGGATCACGCTGCATTTCTTTTGGTTTCTCCACTGTCCTAGTTTATCGAAATCACTGCTGACGGGGCCCTGAGGGACGAGGAGAGGGGGACCGACGAGGGAGGACAAGCTGGGGCGCGCCTGCGCCGATCCTGACATCCCACCCGTCCCATCCAGCCCTTCTCGTTGCCTTGGGTCGGCTTCGGCTTCCCGAGCTGGGTGCTCTGGAAGATCCCCAGAGAGGGGAGGGCGAGAGGAGAGGTCGAGGGGGGGGGGCGCAGATCGAGGTTTGAGCATCGACGAGGTGTTGGAGCGTCCCTTGCGCGGTGTTGCGCGTCTTGGGCCTCCTGCGACCCCCCGCCAGGATGCAGTCTGGCCTGTCCCTCTACACGAGGAATGCTCAAAATAGTCTATTTCTACTATCTTTGATTATTTTTGAGTATTGGTGTGACTTTTGTTTCTCCTCAAATTCGCCTGTAGGATGACTTGCCCGACCTAACGCTAGGACTTCAGCAAACATTCCAAAGCGCCATGTCGGGTGTTGCCAAAAGAGCCACTGGCCCAGGAGAGCCCCCAGGATGTCAGGCCCCAGGGGTTCCGAAGATGAGCGTGCCTCTGGTCACACTGGGCCGCCCCCTCGTCGCGGCCAGCCGCGACGCGCCTCGGACTCGCCGGGCGCTTCCTGCTGCGGAGCACGATTGTTCCACGCCGACGGCGCCCATGCATCGCCGACGTCGACGGTGCATTGCCAATGCAGCGGGGATGCTTCGTCGAGGCATTGGCGATGCGGCGCGATCCTCCGACCCCATCTCCCTCCTGCCGCATCCAGTAGGCCTCTGGCTACTATGCGTGAGAGCGGCCCTTTGGCTGGAGTCCCAGACATGCTGCGTCTCGATGTCTTCGAGACGCGGGCCCCCGACCTCTCGACTACTTCCCCGGGAACGGTTTTTCAGCCCCGAGTCCTGACGAGGGCCCCGAGAGACCGAAACCTATGAAGACCCGCCGTCTCGAGTTCCTCGAGACGCCAGATGTCTGGGGCGGCCTGTTCAGGTTGGCCTGCCAGGGACAGGACATGATGGGCAAGCGATGCCCGCTCTTTGGCCCAGGGGGGGGCCAGGAACGGCTCGAGATGAGGAGCTGCTCGATGGGGCAGTGGCAGGGACTCAGCTAGAGCCCACAGACCTCGTCGGTATTGCGATCGACGTGTTTCCTTTTTTTTTGGCGTCCGTCTTTTTCTGTTTTGGGATTCTTTCGCGTTCGAGCCTTTTGGGGTTCGGATCCGTATGTTTTGGATTGCTGTTGCGCGTCCATTCTGGTTGGTCGAAGACCGAGGTGTTAACACGAAAGACAAGACAAAACGCCACCAGCGTTTTGAGCATCAATTGAGCCTAAAGACCCGCCCACACAGTGGGTGCCCAGAAAGGGGCCAAGAGCGTCCAACTCAGCTCGCTGCTCGACTCTTCCCAGAGATCTGATGTCCTGACGCTTTGCAGTCGGAGTCCCAGAAGCCTCGGCCCATTCCCAAGGACCAGCTTTTTATCCCGACTCGGTTTTCGAAGGCCCCGGGGCCCGGCGAGGGCCTCTGAAGGCCGAGAGCGGAAACATACCGCCGTCATATGTGGTCGCTGCGTTGGATTTCTGGGCTCCTCGACCCTCCCCTCCCTCGCGAGGCTCCCCTGCACCGCGCGCGCGCGGCCGCGGCCGCGGCGACGCGAGAGCGAGACAGCCTCCGCAAGTTCGCGCCGTGCCGCCGCGGCAGAAGCCCCAGGGCGTCGGCGTTGAAGGCGGAACGCCGCCGGCGGCCTCGAGCTATAGCCGACGTGGAAACGTGGAGGGAGCCGCTGAAGGCTGCTCGATCAAGGCGGCGGTCGCTCGAGGCTGCTGGAGCCACGCGGCGTCGGACAAAACCAACGCCGAAGTCTCCACGACACGAACCTGCCATGCACCCAGACATCTGGCGCCGTGTTTTGTGTTCATGGCGCGGCTCCCTGGAGGTCTATTATAGACCCCTTCGCGGGGTCCAGCTTCCCATCCCGAGTCGTTTCTTGAATGCCCTGGGGCCCTGAAGGGCCCCCCCCCCACGGGCTGAACGTCGCCAAACATTGTCCGTCGTGATCTCTTCGCGGAGCCAGGATGGCAGGGAAGGTCAGGCCCTGCGTTGTAGGTCTGGCTGCCAGGCCCCCCGCGCACTCCTGAGCATGCAACTCCTGGGAGGTTCCGCTCAGCATCGGCGCTGGCGTATCCGTGGTTGAATATCAGCCTGTCCCGGCATTATCCCGCTGATTCCAGCTTCGTCCCGCGCAGTCTTGCTTCATCCCAGGCTTTGCTAACACGGGGCCAAACTTGGGCTATCCCGTCTCCGTGGCACTGCAATCAGGTCAAATAGGCATTGACCCGCACCCCTCACGTCGTGATAATTTCACAACGTGGACCCCCTAAGCTCTCGACCCCTTCCCCAGGACAGGCTTTTTCGCCCGAGTCGTCTTTTGCTGGTCTTGGGGGGTCGGAGTTGCCCGACTGCCGTGCTTTCGTTCACGACTCGAGGAGGTCTGGGGCTCAGTCCCTGGCTCAATGCTGGGTCGAAGTTAGGCTCAGCCATGGCTCCTCAAGCGGGCTTGATAGCCCTGAATTCAAAGAGAAAGCTTCGTCATAAACATAAGCGTTCCGAGGTCCGCGCCGATCCAAGACATCCGCGTGGAGCCCCGAAAGTTGATGTACATGTCATCAGAGTGAGAGGGCCGAACGGTTCCTCATTGTCGTGGCCAGAGTTGCGTTCCGTCCAGCGGATTATGCTTGTTGAGTTGCTGTTGCGTCGTTGTCGTCCCCGACCGACCCGTGACCCACCCCCGCGACCCGCCTCGCGACACGTCTCGCGACCAACCCCGCGACCCACTCCCCGACCCACCTCGCGACCCACCCCGTGCCCGCCCCCTCACTCCCGTCCGCCATTGCGGGGTGCGATGCCTTGTTCTGTTCCTCGGTGGATAGCTCCTACGGTTGGCGTCGCAGAGGAGTGTGTGACGTGGCGCCGCCGGCCCGCTTCTGACACGCCGTCCCTACCCTTGGGGAAAGCGTGCACCGAGGAAGCCCTGGCAGGAGGGATAGCGTGCACCGACGAGACGCTCGCAGGGGGATGGCGTGCGCAGAAAGGGACCTCTCGGGGGGGGATCGCCTCATATGGACAGCGTGCGTTTCGGAGATGGATGTTCTACGCCATCTTTGCGGCGCCAACCGTAATCTTTCCCACGGAGGCCTCCCAGGAGTTCCTCCGAGCCCTCGGCCCGCCTCCGCAATGCAGCTGGCGCGCGCGCTGACCGCCGCGGTCGCTCTCCTTGCCGCGGCGGTGCAGGGCGCGGGGAACCAGGCGGTGTGCTCCTCGGCGTCGTCGTCGCCGGCGGCGTGCTCCGTCGTCCTCGCCGTCGTCGTCGTCGTCGCCCTCGTCGTCGTCGGCAGCGTCGTAGGCGTCGGCGTTGTCGTTGGCGTTGGCGTCGTCGTCGTCGCCGTCCTGGAGGCAGTTTTGATTGAGATCATCGGGGCAATCCGCCGAGAGGGGGAGGTGCCAGCCGATGACCTAATCTCTCGGCTTCGGACGGTCCCACGTGTGCCTGCGCGCCCCAGTACTGCGCACCCCCCTGCAGACCTGCGCGACCAACAGGTTCGGGTTAACCGGGTTGGTGGGAGGGCGGCGCGGTGCTGCATGATAACCAGGCTGATCGCCGGACCCTCAAAGTCATTCCCTTGTTGCTGCCCGCGCACCCGGTGTCTCGAAAAGATCGAGGTTGAATTCTTGTTCAGCGTTTTCGGTGTCCCTCGCCAGGCCTCGGGACCGTGTAGAAATGGCTCGGGATGAGCAGCCGGTCCTGGGGAAGTGGTCCAGAGGTCGTGGGCCCACGTTTGAAAGAACAGAACAAAAAACAGTACGCAGGATGTCGGGGTGCCCCTTCGCCAGGGCCAGCGTCACGGGGGGACAGGCTCACGGAGGACGGTTTCGGAAGTTTTTTAGGGTTTGCTGATGCCCCGGGTAGTTTGCATCAGCGTCGCCTCGTCGAGGGTTCCCCAGAGGTGTCAAGATCCGTCCCGAACAGTCTTCGGAGACCCGAGTTATGCCCCGAAAGCCAGACGTCGAGGATCACTGAGGGGGAAGTGCTCAGGGGGGACGCATCCACCCCGAATCGCCCATTCAGGGGCCCGATAGTTCACCCCACCCAGGATGGCGCAGTTTCGCAGCTTTGGGCCGATTCGACGATTCATGGGCGACGCGCCGCCGATTCAAGGTCGATGAGTTCCTCCCGAAGCCAGTCTCCCAGTATCGTTGACCTTCGGTCTTGCTCCTGCTCACTCGAGGGTCGAACTTCGGGCATAGAGGTGTTGCTCATCCGGGTCTCCCTCTCGCCTCGGCCTCAGGCGACCTCTTCGCTGAGGCTCGACGAGGCCGCGCCGAGCCGGCCCGTGTCCAAGGTCATCACTCTGCTGAAGGATGTGGCGCTGAAGCAGCCCTGCTTCTCCCCCCACACTCCTTCTCGTTCCCCCCCCCCTCCCAGTCCTTGCCACCTTCTCCTTTCCATTCTCTTCCTGCACTGCTCAATCCAGCCTCAGCATGCTCGGCCTCCTGCGCCTCGTCCTCCAGTTCTTTACCGCGCAATGCCTAAGAGGACATGCTGAAGCAGCTCGAGTCGGAGGCGGAGAGAGACGAGGAGATCTATGACAAGATGGCGCGAGAGGGGCGGACACGTGGATGCGCGAGCAGGGAGGAGGAGGATGGGCTTGATGGGGCAGCGCAGGGACCAGGATGAGGAGGCAGGATAATGAGTCTGACGAGCAGGGGCAGAGGAGAAGACGAGTTCGAATCAGATCCAACAGAAGAAGAAGACGAACATGAATAAGCATCACACAACAATGCCATATTTGCACAGGGATAATCGGAGCACTAATCATATCAACAATTATCAGAACTGGAGGAGTGGGAGGAGGGGGAGGAGAAGGAGGCGAGGCAGGAAGAGGGGCAGGAGGACAATGAGGACGAGCTTCCTGTGGGAGGGGAGGCTGTCGAGGAAGGGACAGGAAGGAGAGACTGGTGCCCCCTACCCACACCTCTCCGGGAACGTTGGCCCAGAGATCCGATGTCTTGATTTGTTCCCAACCATCCTGTGGTGTTGGGTCCTCGTTTTGAAGAGACGGTCCCCGCGTTCTCCTCCTCCCGCCTCCTTCCTCCCTCCTCCTCTCCCTCCTCCTTCCTCCCCCTCCTTCCTCCCTGCGTTTCACCCACCCAGCACAACGTTTCGTGACCCCATGGGGAGCGCCACCGAAGGCGCCAGTGGCAGGGTTTGCATGGCGGCCTCGGGCCATGCCGGCACACACCTCACAAGAGTCGTGGCCCCATAGGAGCTCCACCGAAGGCGCCAGTGGCAGGGTTCGCATGGCGGCCTCGGGCCATTTCGGCACACCCCTCACAAGGATCGTGGCCCCATAGGAGCTCCACCGAAGACCTCAGTGGCAGGGTTCGCATGGCGGCCTCGGGCCATTCCGGCACACCCCTCACGAAAAGCGTGGCCTCATAGGAGCTCCACCGAAGGCGCCAGTGGCAGGGTTCGCATGGCGGCCTCGGGCCATTTCGGCACACCTCTCACGAGATTGTGGCCCCATGGCGAGCTCCACCGAAGGCGCCAGTAGCAAGGTTCGCATGGCGGCCTCGGGCCATTTCGGCACACCCCTCACGAGGAGCGTGGCCCCATAGCGAGCTCCACCGAAGGCGCCAGTGGCAGGGTTCGCATGGCGGCCTCGGGCCATGTCGGCACACCCCTCACGAGGAGCGTGGCCCCATAGCGAGCTCCACCGAAGGCGCCAGTGGCAGGGTTCGCATGGCGGCCTCGAGCCATTTCAGCAAATACCTCACGAGGATCATGGCCCCGTAGGAGCTGCACCGAAGGCGCCAGTGGCAGGGTTCGCATGGCGGCCTCGGGCCATTTCGGCACACCCCTCACGAGGATCGTGGCCCCATAGGAGCTCCACCGAAGGCGCCAGTGGCATGGTTCGCATGGGGGCCTCGGGCCATGTCGGCACACCCCTCACGAGGATCGTGGCCCCATAGGGAGCTCCACCGAAAGTGACACCCACAACGCCGTATTCACAATTGCGTATGGCTGGGGTCCTTCGCCAGGATAATTTCGATACGGCCCGCTCCCAGGGATCAGACTCCCAGTCACCAGGTTCTCATCCGGATCGCTTTGGTTGGCGGCTCCCGGGCAAGGTCAGGGCGGCTCCCGGGCAAGGTCAGGGCGAAGATCTTCCGTCTTTTCAAAATATACTTTGGACATCTGATCTCTGGGGTCGGGCGCTCCCTCCGCGAGATCGCTCTCTCCCATGCCATGAGATCCAACGTTGCCAAGAATAGACAACATCGCAAAAAATTGCGACCAGTGCCATTCGTCCCATCCTTCTACTGCATCAGGGTCCCGGGGCCCGAGAGCATGTAGCAACCCGCAATTGCGGATGTGAGTAAGGCGGCGGGCGCGGGGTGGGTCGCGGGTGGGTCGCCGGCGGGCCGCAGGTGGGTCGCGGGGTAGGTCGCTTGTGGGTCGCAGGTGGGTCGCATGTGGGTTGCGAGTGGTCGCGGGTGGGTCGCGGGTGGGTGGCGGGTGGGTCGTGGGTGGGTGGCGGGTGGGTCGTGGATGTGTCGTGGGTGGACTGCGGGCGGGTCGCGGGTGGGTCGCGGGTCGGGTCGCGAGTGGGACGCGGGCCGGGTCGCGAGTGGGACGACGACAACAACAAAACAAACAACCGGAACCCCATTTCAGCCACGCACCCGGGGACAGAGAATGACCGTTCGGCCCCCTCACACTGACGTGCGCGAGAACGCCCGGCTTGAAGAATTCGGGCTTGGCCTCCTGCTCCTCCGCCGCCGCCCTGGGGCCAGTGGCCACTGCAGGGGCCTGCGCCTTCGCTGCGCTGAGGCAGGAGAACCTAGATTTCCGACGCGGTGTTTTTTATCATTCGCAGCGCCCTGACATTCCCTGAGATGCTGGCGTCTCAAGTTTTTTGTTCTCGGCGTTTTCGCCAGGCTTCGAGCCCCGGGACCCGCACAGAACCATCCAGGCAGGAGAATGCCGAAAGATGGGGTCCAAGGATTCTAGTCGCGATATGTGACAATGTTTTTTTCGCGCCGTCGGATCTCAGAGTCCTCGCGTCGCAACAAAGTAATGACGCGATGTTTTCTCCCGGAATGCCAAAAACGACCCAGGATGAAATGTCGGTCCCAGGCAGTTGGTCGAGATTATCGGGGGTCCACGTTGCGCAACCATCATGACGGATCTTCGCTCTTCGACGATGAGTGCGTTGTCAAAAAAGGTTGTATCGTTTTTCTTCATGTCGGCATCTGGGTCCGCTTCTGGGCTCCAGCGCCATCAAACATGGATCTGGGGCGCAATGCTTCACCTTGGGGAGCGGCTGGGAGTCCGGGGGCCGCGGAAGAATCACATCGGAGGATGTCGGGGAAGCGACGCCACGAGGAGCTCCACCGTGCGGCGCGGGTTTGAGGCTGGAGATGTCCTGGGCGGGGTGGCGCCAGAGGACAGCGGGGCCACGCCACCCAAAGGGCCCAGTGTAGCTCTTTCCACTGGCGGTGGTGTCGCCCACGCGGGAATGTTTGCCTAGCGTGCCGCGCGGCGGTTCCAGGCCACCAAGGCTCGGTGCGACACGCTGAGCACGTCCCAGTCCCCAATTGAGCATTAGGGATCCGAGCCTGACGCAGAGTGACACACCTTCATCTCTGAAGTTATGGCGTGTTGCAGTGTCCGCCGCCGGGACACGCTATAGCATAAGCATCTTGACCGTACCGGCTTCCAGACCTCCGCAATCACGGTTTCTTCCAGGTGAGGGCACCTTGGAGCTCTGGACCGCCATCCCTTGGCCCAGTTCTCCTTAGGGGTCTGTCTGTTCGTGGTCGAATATTTGAATAGAAACTTGCCGTCTCGATCGTCTCGTGACGCCCGAGCTCTGTCTTCGACCGCTCAGGCGTGCTGGTGCGAGACCAACGAGAAGGAGAAGACAGCGTCAATCAAAGCGGCCGAGGAGCGCATCGCGCAGCTCGAGGCGAAGATCGAGGAGGACGCCGCCCTCAGCGTCAAGCTGGAGTCCGAGATGCGCGAGCTCGAGGCAGAGGTGGCCAAGAATCAGGCCGCCTTCCTAAAAAATGTAGGAGACAGGGAGGAGAGAATGCTGGCAGGGAGGAGCAAGGAAATAACCGAAGGATATCTTTAGTTCTGAATTCCCTCCCCCCCCTGCTTTTTTCGGCGGGGACAACACTTCGCCCCTCCTGCTCCTCCTGCTCTTCCTCCTTCTGTTCCTCCTCCTCCTCCACCTCCTTCCCCTCTCCTCCTCCTCCTCGTCCTCGTGCTCTACTTCCTCGTCCCCTCCTGCTCCTCCTCGTGGTCGCTATCGCAGTCGTCGCCGTCGCCGTCTCCGTCGCCGTCGCGGCGCATATTATATTATATTGTTGTGCGGGCTGGATAACGTTTGGGGCTCATTCCCCCAGGGAGTAATCCGTTGTGGCCGACCATACACGCAAGAGGATGTGTGAGAATATTCTCTTGACAACTGCGATAAAAAAAGCCAGTGGTTTTGATACGAGTCGTGTTTGTAGTCGTCGTTGTTTATCGTGTTTGTAATCGTGATTGTAGCCTTGATTGTATAGTCGTAGTCGTAGTCGTAATTTATTAGTCGCCGTCGTCGCGGCGGAGATTGTGTTTCGCTCGGCGGGCCGTGTAATGTTCGGGGTTTCGTTCTCCCAGGGAATAGTTCTGTTGTAGGAATAACCTGTGGTTGCGATGTCATGAAGATGCTGTGTACATCAGCCAAACACATTCATGCAACCTGAACCTCCTGAAGGGAAACCTCTCGGTTGTGGTGGGCCCCATTGGGGTGCGAATTGTAGGTCTAGCAGTTGTGGGATTGGTTTTCAGCCTCGCGGTATTATTGTGGGGAATTCGCAATTTCGCGTGCTGGTGGACAGATCGTGTTGGACATGCCGGCCATCCAGAAGATAACTATTCCGGCGTGTTAGTGAACACGCAGTGCAAGTCGCACTCAGGGAAGAAGTATGTGCTGTCAGCTCGTTTCTGTGGAGGCCGAAGGTTTCCCTACAGGAGGCTCAGGTTCCACAGGGAAGCCGGCATTCCTGCGTTGATTGTGAGCGTGGGGAAGCAGACGAACATGAGCGGGGTAGGGAAGTTGAGGGCGAGGAGGCAGAGGGGATGGAAGAAAAGGAGAAGGCGAAGATAATTCAGGGAAGTTGTGCATGTTGGAAGCAGTGATCCGGGTGTAGCTCGGGATGCAGTCGAGGGTGGGAAGAAAGTAGTGCATGAAATGGCGGTGAAGCATCAGGAGGAGGGACAAAGGGAAGAGCGGGAAGGGAAGAAAAGGCTACGCCGCACAACTAGGAGCAAGGCTTGGTGGAAGGGTGCGCGAGCTAAAAAGCGAGCTTGTGAGATGAGGAGGCAGAGGAAAGCGCCAAAGGACGGAATTCGCCTTCCAGACCACAGGCTATGAGGTGGTGCCGGTGGATCCGCCGTCACGGCCCGGCAAAGGGCAGGGGTCAGCCGACAGGTTGAAGGCGAGGATGCCGCGGCCAGATTGGCGGAGGGAAGAAGGAGGAAAGAATCAGGAATCAAGGAATGGAGGCAACGCGCGGGCAGCAGCGAGAGCAGCCAGATTCCAAAAGGAGCCAGAGGAAGAGGGAAAGGCAGAGGAGGAGAAACGAAGGGTCCGACTTGCTAAACGCAGTGACGACCGTAGTAGAGCGAGCCCAACGATCAAATGACACGGGGACCCTGCTCCAAAGACTGACGACGATCGTGGAGGCAGCCACGAAATGTACCCTAGAAAGCAGAGGCGGCGACGCCAAGCTGAAGGGACCTAGGTCGCCTGCCCATGCTGCAGGCAAGGGAGGGGCACGTCAATGAGGAAGCAAATGAGGAGGGAAAGGAGGAAAAGGCAAAGGAGGGGATGAAACAGGAGGCAGCGAAGGTAGTCAGAAAGGAGGAGGCGGCCGCGAGGGCCCGGACGCCGCCCCGCAGACCTGTGCGCAGCGGCTCGGGACGCGGCAGGAGGGCACAGGAGAGCGGAGGACAGTGGCGCGAGGCAGACCCAATCTGTGGCGCTTGCCAGGAGGCTGGCCGCCAGAGCAAGTCCGCGCGGCTCCGCAGGTCGAGCAACTCCTGGAGCAGGGGCACAAGAATGAAGCTTATCTTGGCCCACAGTGCTGTGCTGTGCTTGCGAAGAGCGACGGCATGAAGGAACAGATAGCCATTATCCTTGGCTGGCAAAAAGGGCAGGAGGAGGAGGAAGCGCAGAATAGAGAGGAGGAGAAGTGGCCCAGGATCCTGGGGCTTGGCGGGCAACCGAAGTTGGCCAAGCTACGAGTGCCCCCGCTGGTGAGCGAGGCCGGTCTCCCGGACCTCGGGCAGCGCACCCAGGCCGCAAGAGGGGAGCTAGGAGAAAAGTCGATTGTCCAGGAGATCGAGGTCGAGGTGGTCAGAATTACGATTGCAAAAAAGGTTATGGAATGCAAGGCTTGGGAGGCAGCGGTGAGCAGGCCAGCGAGCATCTTCCTCACGTACGCGAATGACCTGGACATTCTGCACACATACCGGTGGAATGCGCAGCCTAAGCTTGGAGACTGTGAACATCGTGGGCTAATTATGCAAGGGTGCCGAAGGACTCCGTTTCAGCGGTGTTGGCCACATTGGTCCGCAGAGGTATTTTCGTGGACCGACTCAGCAGGTCGTGTGTCTGGCCCACGGTCGAATGGTGCTACCAGCAAGAGGAGGAGGAAGCCAATGAGTACCTGCAGAGGGCGCTCTGAGGAGACAAAGAAGAAGGACTCGCCTTCCGCATGGTATGGCGCTCGCAACTCGGAGTGCGCTTGCCACGCGGCGAGCACCTTGCAGTCAAGCGGAAAGTCGAGGTTGTGGTGTCCAGGGCACCCAAGCAATGGGGTGCATCGGAAATCACCCAATTCCTCAAAGATCAAGGCTGGGAGGAGGCAGAGGTGAAAGGGTACCCAGCAGCCAGGAGCGGGTGGGCGGTCTCCACCATGCCCCCAGCTGGAGCGGCGACAGGCATCGGGCACGCGTTGGCAGCTGCACGGGCGAAGGTCCTGACGGCTTCGCGCCCGGGGAAGACCCACCAGTCGCCGGCGACGCAGTCCATCAAGTACGATGGAGGATGTATCCGCAGTGACCTGCTCAAGAGAGCTACGAGGCCATCAGAGCAGCATGCGGCGAGAGGAGCCCAGCAGAGGAAGGAGGAAGAAAGGAACAAGGCGGAGGCATCGACAGGAGACGAGGGGGATGCCATGACAGACGTAGACGACCAGATGATAAAGCCCGGGAAGAGGAAGGAAGATACCGGCGCAGAGAAGCCATAGGAGAAAAAGACCAAGGCAGGGGACGCCTCCCATGCCATGGGCGGGACACTGTGGGACCAGGGTGGCAATGGGGACTGCGGAGTCCGCGCTTGCTGCGGAGCGTGGGGGATCGCGCAGGGGTGCAATAAAGAGGAAATGCGGCGAAAGATCCAGGACGAGGCGGTTCAATTCCGATTTTCGGTGGCCCCGTAAAGTCGCGAAGAGAGAAGTATTCAAGGATGCTTGGGTCGCAGACCCGTTTGCGACCGTCGACGTGGAGGGGGGACAGGTGCCCCACACGTACAAGGCGTGGCTGGAGGCAATTGGGCGGCCCACGCGATGGGTCGACGAGTACATGCTCGCAACCATGGCCAACCGCATGGAGACGAATATCACGGTGTTCGTGTGGGAGGACGGCAAGTGGGAAAATGGCAGGGCCATCCCTCCCTGCAGTGCCAAGTTTGCGCAGAAAGCAAGGCGGCGATCCCCAGTTGATTACCGCGTGCCTGAAGGACAAGCACTACGACGACTTGCTCGTGCACGGGGAGGTGCCCACAGAGTGGGGGGACCCCCCCCATTCGGGAGAGGGCTTCCTCCGCGTCGCGCGGCTGCGGTTGGATGCCTCCCACCCCGCGGAGCGGCGGGGCGGCGGAGACCAGCGCCAATCCCCCCCCCGGGGGCGAGGCAACGGCGGCAGGGCTGTCAGGGGCCCCATGTCAGCATAGCGGCGGCCAGGCAGCAGGACAGCGAAGCAAGGGAAGAGGGACCCGAAACCGATATCCGAATCGTGGCAGGAGACCCACCCCACTTATCGCAAGCCCGAGGGTCAGGTAAGTCAGAGAGCCCACTCAGTTCTTTGGCCGAAGTCTTCAGCCACGCAGGCGTGAGGCCTTGAAGACCAGACACTGTATCAACTCGATCAAGGGCGGCAGCGGCTCCCCAGAGGTGCAGCGATGGCTGCCGGCCACTCCTGGCACTGCCGGTCGGCCTTCCGCTCCGGCCAGCACCGCCAGCTGGACACAGCCGAGCAAGGAGGGAGCGACGAGGAGGTTGATGGATAAGCAGAGGCCGATGACCAGGAGCGAGAACGGAGTGCTTGATGAGGTTGCTGGCGACGGCAACTTGAACGGTCAGGGACAGCCCCGAGAAGGGGGAGGAGGAGGAGGAGGAGGAGGAGGAGGAGGAGGAGGAGGAAGAGTAGGTAAGTAGAGCAGCAAAGGCAGCAGCAGCTGCTGCTGCTGCCGCTGCTGCCCAGCCGAGGAAAGGACAGATGCCAGCCACGCCAGGAACTGCCAGCCTGCCGTTCGCCCGGCTCAGTGGTGCCGAGTATAGGATAGGCCCGCGCCCAAGGGGATCAGCACCACCACTGCAGATGGGCAGGAGGAGCGCGGAGGAATGGAGGAGGAATATGAAAGAGAGGAACAGGAGGACGAGGATGAAGAGGCAGCTGAGGCAGTGGCCCCGCCCGCACGACGGCTCCCGCGATGGCGCTGTCCTCTTTGCCTCGAGGTCCCGTGGGTTGCCGAGGCCCCCGCGCGGAAGGATATGCATGCAAGGGACGCAACGCACCTACGGAAGACGCATCCTGAGGAATCGGTGGCGCCGCTGAGGAACTAGGCGCTGCCGCCGACCCCCATCGAGGCCACGACGGCGCTCCATGCGGTGCAGAGGGCGTGGGCGTGCGGACTGTGCGATGCGGGACTCCCCACCTTGGGGCGAGCGCAGGCGGGGCTGAGCAGGCGGAGCCATTGGCAGACATGTCGCGACGACG